TAACGCGCGCTAAGGAGTATACATTACTCCCCCCTCAGATCTCTTTTTTTTTCGATTCGAGAAGGCATTCGACAGCAAGGAACTTGACGTTGTCCGGAATGCTCTTGTGGAAAACGGAATCGATGAGAATTATATCAAATAAGGGAATAGGGGATGCTCGATCGACTGGTATAGCGCTTTCCTCAAAACGTAATGTGTATACCGATCAAGAACGGCATGAGATTGGGCGATCCTTTATCATCCAAGCTCTTTAATGCCTGTTTCGTGATGGTGTTCCACAAATTGAACTGCAAGTGCGGTCTGAACATCAGCAGCAAACCGTTAAATCATCTACGTTTCGCGGACGACATAGAAATCATCGCGAATAACCCTCGATGAAGAAAAGAGATGCATCAAGAGCTCAGCCAACGAAGTAAAGCAGTTGGTCTTGAGATCAACGCAACGGAAACAAAAGTGGTGCAAAGTGTCGGCATTCCCAAGACTAGTTTAGGTAGAGGATGTAGACGTGGAGGAAGTCAACAACTATGTCTACTTGGGCCAAGAATTGAATATACGTTACGATCTCCAACCGGAGATTATACGTCCAAGGACTGCCGGATGACGCAAATTCTATTCCATCACCGATGTCCTCAAAGTATCAAACCAGAAAGACCGCGTTCGCCTGTTCAACAGTGTAATGTTTGAGGCAATGACGTACGGATGCGAAACGTGGGCACCGACGAAGACAAATGGAGACGAACCGGCTGTGACGGAAAGAGCAATGGAACGAAGGATGATCAGAATACCTCTTCGTGACCATCTGGACAACAGAACTCTCCACAAAATGAATGGCATGCAAGATACTGTGAGAGCCATGAGAAAGAGAGAGAGAGAAAGAGAGAGAGATAGACAAGCAGACAGAGAGAGTAATATCCGTTGGACAAGCTACGTCGCACGTTTTGATGTCAACCGATGGATCTCGCGCATTGCCGAGTGGTACCCGAGGGAAAGAAAATGAACACTCAGGCGATCTCCGATGAGGTTGTGGATGTACGTAGAAAAAATAGCGGGAAGGAATTGGATACAAACTGCCAAGGACAAAATGATCTGGCATGATTGGGCTCGGCGCGTTGGAACATCGAAGAATCCATACTGAATCCCGAGCAATCTTGCTGAATCTTGATGACTACAGTAGAGCATGGCCATCATAGAACCATGTCGCCACAATTCTAAGTGATTAAAGTCTTTCCTGTGATTGCATAAACTACTAAAGGCTGCTGGAAAATACTTGAATGGTATGAACTTGCAACGCAGCGGTTTCAAGTACGGGGTATAAGCGACTGTAGCGCCTAATCCGCGTAGGAACTTGCTTACTCAGTTTGCAGATACGGTTGTGCGAAGTTCGAAGTTCGTTCATTTCTGCGTCGGTGTTTGAGCTGTTTCACACAGTTTTTATCCACGTTCGTTTTTTTAACTTTACTCCAGCAAAAGAAGTACAGCAGTGATAAAACGATGCAAAAGTATGTAAATTCGCGGTAAATGTAGTAATTGCTTATACAGTTCAAGCCGTGATGAGATGCTTCAAAGTTTGTCTTCGTACACGATCGCTGGCTATATGGTACTGCGTGAGATGAGCATTTAATGTATTGCCCAACTCTTAAGCATAAATCTAACTATAAAGCTTTTGTAAAGCAGTTGAAAAACGTTTATACATCGCATAATGTCGTTAGAAAATTTCTTCTCAGGCGTTTACCGTTTTGCACATGGGTTTGCTATGCGTCGTTGTCCTTGCATTGTTAGCATATAATTTAAAGGCGCTGATGCCATAATTGGGACAAGTCTCTAAGAGGTAATGCGTGCGTCGTATTGATTTACTTCGGCAGGCCGTTGATTTAATGACTTCTCATCCCCTCAAGTTTAGTTGAAATCTTCAACTGTCTTGCTTATTAATTGCTAATGTACTTTCATTGTCATTTTCATTACCATTTGTGGACCCATTGCTGTATGAAAGCCTTTCAGAGACTCTGCCGTAAACTTATGTTATCTGCCATTTTCATCTATCACAGTTCAGAGAACTTCTTCAGCAGACCCTGCCCTTTTCAAGTTTGAACTTATGCTTCCTTGAAGCTTCATTTTATCAGTTGCATTCTTGTGATTCATGGTGTTCAAGTTGGTATATATACCTTCTCTCAATTCCCGGGCTCCTCAAGGAACGCAGTACACAATGCATGTAGACAGTCAAAATCAAACAACCCCAAGTAGGGAAAACGTTGATATTCGTTGTTCGTCTGAATTACTTGTTCCATTTGGAAATGATATACCGTGCTAAATCTACTTCTTAATTCTGTTTGCTCCTTTGGCTGTGGAACTTATGCGTTCAGTTTTTCTTCAGGTCTGTTCATCAGTACCTTAGTGAAGATCTTGCATATGATTGTTAGCAAATTTATCAGCGTGTTGTTCTCTAAATCCTCTCTGTCTTCGCTTTCGTGGAGAGAATTGCCGATGCGGTAGCTCAATCGTCTGGGATTTTCATTTCCTTGGTCAGTGCTTCGCCTCCTGATTCCAAGAGTTCTGCTGTACCGCCGTCCTCGCTAAAGGCTCTTTCTGGCTTTTACTGTTTAATTGCATAGTGCACTATTTTTGGCAATAGATCTGGAATTTCGTCAACGTCATTTGCATCCTTAAGCTCCTTAACTTCACTAAACGTGTTGCTGTCTTCATATTTGTACAGTTTTCTATAGAAATCTTTGTTCTCTTTAGAATCTCTTGCCTGTCCCGGATGACAGTCTCGTCTTCTGCTTTGAGATCGAAGATTTGTTTTCCAACCGTATTGCTATTTAATATCTTCATGATTCTGTTATCTTCAACGGTTTCCTTCACCAATCTGCAGTTGAATCCTCGGGCAGTTTTTATTCGTTTCCCTCTTCGATTTCTGATCTGTCTTCATTTCTGTTTATTTCTTCACGTGTTCTTTCGTTTGCTTCGTGATTTTCCGGTCGACCTTCAGAATCCTCTTTCCGGAAATATTTCCGCCGCTTCTGTAACTATTTTCTTTACATCGTGTTACATTCATTGGTGCTCACTGATTTTCCTGTTTCTTCTGATTTTGAATTGTAATAGCGGCAGGTTCTCCTTTAGTGCTTCCGCGTCAAGTATCTGGCGTTTCCTCCTTGCCACTTTCCATCTTTCTAAAACTGAGTCCAGGCGCATCCTGCATCTACGAGCCGGTGGTCGCCCTCTGCACTAAACCTGCAGAGCACCGCAACGTCCTGCACTGAGTTCTTCATGTTGCTGAAGATGAAATCGATTTCATTCTTGACGTCGTTTGG